GTTATGTAGATAGAGGAGATCCACATGCAGGTTTGTTATGTAGATTGAGAGATCCACATGCAGGTTTGTTATGTAGATAGAGGAGATCCATATGCAGGTTTGTTATGTAGATAGAGGAGATCCACATGCAGGTTTGTTATGTAGATTGAGAGATCCACATGCAGGTTTGTTTTGTAGATTGAGAGATCCACATGCAGGTTTGTTATGTAGATACATTGTGTGAAGCTCAGGTATGGGCTTCAGTTGAATCCATTATCCAAATAGTGTACATGGTACCCAATACGGAGTTTTTCAACTCTTTTCCCCACCCTTAAACACATTCTTAAATATTGCCCAGAGAAGATTCCAGGATATCCCTTCCTTGGGGTCATCCTGGCATTTTATGTCTCAGTCACATCAAAACTGGTTGTCAATGAGCTATTAAAAAGCAGCGCCGTGAAAGAAGTCTCGGTTTCGACCACACGTGATGCATGGGGTCTCGCATTGTGTCTTTCTGCTCCGTAGCTGGAAGCACCAGCACCCTCGCAGCACATGTCGTTTTAAAGGCTCCGCTGCTGCAGATTCTGTCTTCTTCAGGGCCTGTGGTCAGGAACCTTGTGAAGTGTTGCTGGAAGCTGGGGGTGGGGAGGTGGCATGGAATGGGGGAGCTGATGCCTCTCTCTCCTGCCTCGTTTTTCTGTGGGCCTCATTTGGTATGCAAGGAAATAAGCCAAACAGCCTGTGAAGAAAGGAAGAATGAGATAGTTTCCTAAGTTGTCTCTGCCTGAGTTGGCCGCGGGTCTGGGGCTCATTCAGCCCTTTGTCCCCCTGTTGAGTGCAGTGCGTGTGTGGTGACAATGGAGTGGCGCAGTTACACTGAGGGCTAATGGTAGGAGTTCCGTCAGCCCATTCATGGAGGCAGAGGAGGGTGCAGGGCGCAGAGCTCGAGCCAGCAAGCAGAGGAAGTCAGAGGCCCTTGTAACGAGCTGAAGATCACAAACACTGCTGTCAGGGCTCCAGGCTTGGGGGGTGGGGGCAAGGGAGGGGGCCTATCATCATGGAAGTTGGAGGTCTGCCCGACCTCCAGCGCGGTAGGGTACCACCTGTCCAGGCTGACAGACGAGCATTATGGCTTCCCTTTTAATCAGCTTAATTTGGGGCATCTTAACATAATGGCTGGTGCTCTGGAGGCTGCAGGAAAGCTGATGTCCTAGAGCCGCCGCACTTCACATGTATGGAACATCTTTTTACTGGAGGCGCTTTCGTGTTTTTCCAGCCACTTGGGCTGTGTTTCTCTGTTTTGGAGATTCTCTGGTCTGTCTGTCTTTACTTAGAGCTTAGAAATCAAGGTATACAGAAAAAGAAAGTTCTGAATTTGGAGGCTTGCCCTCTCTAAAGCCAAGCTGAGCTTTTAGCCAGATGTCACTGTGGGACAAGTCACTTCAGCTCTCCAGCCTTCATTCCCTGGCTGGGAAATGAGAGCACTTGGCTATTTGATTTCCAAAGGCCCTTTAGACCTCCAAATTATCCAAGTCTGTGATGATTTATGTATGTCTTCTTATAAGCCAACCCTTCAGAAACACTAACTCCACTCTTCTCTCAGCTTGATCATCTAACAGAAGCAGGCTGGTTGGATTTAAGATGGGGGAGGCGGTCTTCCCTCCAGGTGGCTGCCCCATCCCCACCCCACCCCAATCCCATGCATTCTCCTGCCCTCCTGCTTTGGGCAAGACCGGGATTGTGTGGAGTTGGCACGTCCAGTGGCAGGTATCGGCACCACTGCACAGTCTCCTCTCCCTTCACCTTCCACCAGCGTACAGAATTTATATGCCCTTCACAAGTCCAAAGAGGGCTCCTGCCATGTTAAACAAAGGTATTCATATGCGGGGAGTGAGCTCTGTCTCATGGAAGGGAGAGGCCAAGTTCTCTCTCCACCGTCAGAGAATGTTTGACATCATTTATACAAGACAGGCTTTTGCCCTTTTGGTTTTGCTGAGGCAGAATGAGGGATTTGTGTAGTTGAAAGTCGAGCTGATCATTGTCAAGTTGCGAGGAAGTGGAGCCTGAAAGAAGGTCAGGCAGGACTGCAGAGAGGGTTAGCATCCTGCTTCTCCATGAGGTAAGTCTAGAAGAGGGTGGGGAAGCGAGTTCAGAATTCTTCACTCCTGGAGTACCTGCTTTGGTCATCCTTTTACCTTCCAGTCAGAGGGATCATTGATCAAGAGCTGGCCAGGCTGGGCATAGTGGCTCATGTTTGTAATCCCAGCACTTTGGGAGGCCAAGGTGGGTGGATCACCTGAGGTCAGGAGTTCAAGACCAGCCTGACCAATATGGTAAAACCCTGTCTCTATTAAAAATACAAAAATTAGCTGGGCGTGGTGGCACACGACTGTAGTCCCAGCTATTTGGGAGGCTGAGGTGTGAGAATCACGTTAACGCACAGAAGGTCCCTCAGTCAGCCAAGAATCCTGCCATCTCCTTTAGATAACAAAAGCTCTTAGGCCTTATGCTTTAGATAGGATTTGTCTTCCATGGACAAGCATTCAGTTGGAAACAAGTATATAGTCACTGCCTCTATGGTAGGGAGGTACTCTGATCCAGTCTCTCTGCCTCCTGGAAAAAAAGAAAAATTGTAAACACCCCCTTCAACTGTTCCTCAAGTCCCTGTACAGCGGAAGGACATTACACGTGAACTTCCTGGATTCAGTGGATTATTCTCTGCAAGAAAAAAAAACAGAGAAAGAAGAAAATAATGAATTTAGATTGTTAGGTTCAGCATTTCACTCATTGAGTGCACATAGCGGGTGAGGGAGGACAGATGGGACATGGGGTTGAAGCTGCTATTCTGGGTCTTGGTTCCTGCCCCTGCACTGTGGAGTGAGCATTTCATCACACCGCGTTCATTCTAGCATAGTCAACTCCTTCATGCCATGCTCAAATGCAGAAAGGGCTGTCTATGTCTATCCTAGCTTTAGAAGAAAAACTGATAGTGTGAGACTTGCCATTCCTCTCTGATGTGAAACCTTCCTATGGGACATTCCACAGCCATTTTGACTATAATCACTTTTTGCCTTTAACCCCCACATTCGTTTTGATTCTATATTTAATATTAACTTTTTCAGATTATAAGGATTTGAGGTTTTCAAACATCTACCGAAATGTAAGTGCCCCTAGAAACATACTTTTAGGCCACACATAGTGGCTCACACCTGTAATCCCAGCACTTTGGGAAGCCAAGGCAGGCAGACCACCTGAGGTCAGGAGTTCAAGACCAGCCTGGTCAACATGGTAAAACCCCATCTTTACTAAAAATATAAAAATTAGCTGGGCATGGTGGCACATGCACATAATCCCAGCTACTTGGAAGGCTGAGGCAGGAGAATCCCTTGAACCTGAGAGATGGAGGTTGCAATGAGCTGAGACTATGCCATTGCACTCTAGCCTGGACAACAGAGTGAGATTGCATCTCAAAAAAAAAAAAAGAAAGAAAAGAAAAGAAAAAAGAAACATTATACCTTTAGCTTTTGCCACCTAGCAAGTGGTAACTTATGACGACAACACTGCCACATAGTCCTTGAGGGAAAAACTTGGGGAAGAGCAGAACCAGGGATAAGGCAGCTGGGGCCCATGAGATTTCTCATCATTCCTTCAGCTCGGCGGGTCAGACAGGGTAAGGGATGCGACCAGGAGATGCCACAGGAAAGTCTGAGAGGTGTTAGCAAGTCCCGGAGGCCAGTACCTGACTCCACCTCAGCTTCGTTCAGGGTGGCACGGAGACCCCTGCTGCTGGGTCACGTTGTCACCGTCAGCACTCTCCCCAGCACCAGACACACAATCTTCACTAAAGATTGTCAAGATCTTGACACACAATTCACTAGTCTTGACTAAACACTAATCTATACCTCATTTCAAAGAAATCTGAGGAATTCTTTCAGGTTCAGGACCAATTTATTGTTACACATAATAGTGATCATTTATTGAGCTCCGCTTAGCACTACACATATGCCAGGATCATCTCAGTTGCCCTTTACTCTTGAGTGTTTTGTTGTCCTTGCTTTATGGATGTGGAAATTGAGATCAGAAAAGTTAAATAACTTAAGTGCCACCTGCGAGTATGTTGGGTGGGCAGCAAATACCAATTTGCCTGGCTAGGTGCATTTTAGATTTTTGGGAAATAAAGATAATGGTCTTCTGCTTGGCAAAATAGAAACCCTCTAGGTGGTGAGAATTGCACAGTGAAAGAAACAAAAGGGAGGAGGGTGAATCACGAGGTCAAGAGATTGAGACCATCCTGGCCAACATGGTGAAACCACGTCTCTACTAACAATACAAAAATTAGCTGGGTGTGGTGGTGTGCGCCTGTAATTCCAGCTACTCAGGAGGCTGAGGCAGGAGGATCGCTTGAGCCTGGGTGGCGGAAGTTGCAGTGAGCCAAGATCGTACCACTGCATTCCAGCCTGGAGGACAGAGTGAGACTGTCTCCAAAAAAAAAAAAAAAAAAAAAAAAAGCAAAGTATTTACAGTTTATGTGACGGTCAGCACATTGGTTTATTGGTTTCCTTCTCTAGTTCTCGGGGGCTGAGTTTGCTAATGTCGTAGCACCTCTAGTAGCCTTCCCCTTTTCTCTGCCACTTCCCAGCCTCCCCGGGCAGAAAGCATCTGGTGGGTCCCTTGAGTACCAGGCCTCCATAAGCAGACCATCATTTAGGCCAATGCTTTTCAAAATACCCATCACCTGGGCTCTGCTAAAATGCAGGTTCTGATTAGCTCGGCCTGGGTTGACTGAGATTCTGCAGTTCCAACACGCTCACAGGTGATGATGCTGATGCTGCCGGCCCATGGACCCCGCCTGGTGTACTGAGGTTCCTTGGCACTTTAAGAACATCCCTCCTTTACTTCACATTTATTCCTACTGGAAACTAGCATAGAATTACGCAGGCTCAATTATGCGTGCTTTCTTGGTAGGATGCTCTGTGTCGAGTTCCTCTTATTAACAGCTCTGGTCTGGACCATTGTTCTAGGATTGTCTCAAAGCCTGCCAGGAGCAGATTGAGGCAGTGCTCCTCAATAGCCTGCAGCAGTACCGTCAGGACCAGCGCGACGGATCCAAGTCGGAAGATGAACTGGACCAAGCCAGCACCCCTACAGACGTCCGGGATATCGACCTGTGAGGATGCCAGTCGGGCCGCAAGAGAGGCGCACTCATAATCTGCTCTCTCCTTCTTTCTGGTTATGTTTTGTTCTTTGTGTTTTAGGGTGAAACTTAAAAAAAAAAAATCTGCCCCCACCTAGATCATATTTAAAGATCTTTTAGAAGTGAGAGAAAAAGGTCCTATAAAAGCCGAATAATAAAAAGCATTTGGTGCCTATTTGAAGTACAGCATAAGGGAATCCCTTGTATATGCGAACAGTTATTGTTTGATTATGTAAAAGTAATAGTAAAATGCTTACAGGAAAACCTGCAGAGTAGTTAGAGAATATGTATGCCTGCAATATGGGAACAAATTAGAGGAGACTTTTTTTTTTCATGTTATGAATAGCACATACACCCCCTTGTAGTATAATTTCAAGGAACTGTGTACGCCATTTATGGCATGATTAGATTGCAAAGCAATGAACTCAAGAAGGAATTGAGATAAGGAGGGACATGATGGGGAGGGAGTACAAAACAATCTCTCAACATGATTGAACCATTTGGAATGGTTTTGCTCTCAGCCACCTGTTACTAAGTCAGGAGCATGGTTGGATCTCTGCATTACGTTCTCTCGCTGTCTACAGTAGCTGCTACCTAAAAAAGATGTTTGATTTTGCCAGTTGGACACAGGTGACAGGCTCCTGGGTTTCATGTTCTGTGACATCCTGCTGCTTCTTCCAAATGCAGTTCATTGCAGACACCACCGTATTGCTATCTAACGGGGAAATGTAGCTATGGACCATAACCAAAACTCACATGAAACGGAGGCAGATGGAGACCAAGGGTGGGAACCAGAATGGAATCTTTTCTGTTATTCTATTTAAAAGGGTAAGATGGCCTTGGCATTTCTTCTTAGAAAACAAAACTAATTTTTGGTGCTGATTGGCATGTCTGGTTCACAGTTTAGCATTGTTATAAACCATTCCATTCGAAAAGCACTTTGAAAAATTGTTCCCAAGCGATAGATGGGATGGTTTATGCAAGTCAAGCTGAGTGCTCCTCTTCTCTTCCTGCCCCCAGTCTGGGTTACTCTTCGCTTCTATTATCGGACGTTCTTTGGTACACAGTTCTGGTGTTCCTACCAGGACTCTTGAGACACCACCCCCTTTCTGCTGACATTCCCATCACAACATTCCTCAGAAAAGCCTGTAAACTGCCATTCTCATGGCGCAGAAGGATCTTAATTCCCATCTCTGTACTTCTCCTTTGGACATGGAAAGAAAAGTTATTGCTGGTGCAAAGATAGATGGCTGAACATCAGGGTGTGGCATTTTGTTCCCTTTTCTGTTCTTTTTCTTTTTGTTTGTCATTGTTAATTTTATTGCAAAGTTGTATTCAGCGTACTTGAATTTTTTTTTCCTCTCCACTTCTTAGAGGCATTCAGTTAGCAAAGAGGTTGGAGCAACAACTTTTTTTTTTTTTTTTTGCACAATTGTAATTGATAGGTAATGAAGCTATTTGTTAAAATATTTGCCTTTTCAAGTAAAAAACAAAAATCAGAACAGGGCTACTTTGAAGAATTACTTTATACACAGATTCTGCCTTGTTTCACAGTATGAGGGTTGAAGATGGGAAAAAATCTAAGGGTCTCTTATTTTTTCATTTTGTTTTGTTCAGTTTTTTTTTTTTTTTTGCGCTGCTAAGAAGCTAAAATCATCCATCCTTATTCACATTGACAGTACCTAGCTGTAATGTTTCACAGAGTGTGCTGCTATTTTATAAACATTTTTATAATATATTATTTTACTGCTTAAATTCCAGGTCCTGAAGTAGATGGTTCAGATAGGAGTTCTTTGTACTGGAAAAGCCCTTCCGTAGTTTGCTTTCTTCTCGTAGCCTATTCATGGTTTTTTTTTTTTTTTCTTTTTGGTTTTTTGGTTTTTTTTTTTTTTCCTCTGATCACATTGTTCAAAGACGGAGTATTCTTTACCTCAGGTTTACTGGACGAAATCAATAACTACAAGACAATGATTCACTTTTGTTTTCATTATACCTCACAACCGTACAGTTTCTGCCTGGGAGCCCACTCATGTGAGGGATACAGAAGAGTGTGAGCAGGGCCGAACTCCCGCTCAGGTGGAAGGCAGGGCGGTCTCACTCCCAGGGACCTTTTTGGTCATGGAGGCCATTGGGCTCCCAGTTTGATCCCGGTATCCTCATCATGATGGAAAAAATACGTTGAACCAAGGGATCCTCCCTCCCCTGCAAGGCAGACGTTCAGTACAAACATCGTGATTTGCACTTAGGTACCAGGTATCAGGAAACAGACTAAAAAGAATTCCAGCAGGCTGTATGGAGAGCCTCATCTTGCAGCTTTTTCAAAAGCGGGGCTTCATCTGCAAAGGACCCTTTCATCTTGAAGTTTTTTCCTCCGTCTTTCCCCTTCCCTGGCATGGACACCTTGAGTTTAGGATCATCTCTGCAGATTTCCTAGGTCTGAATCTGTGAGTAGATGAATCTGCAGCAAGCCACATGTGTGGTGCTTCCTTCTCCCTCCTCTGTCTCAAACTGTGCAGGCAAGCACTATGCAAGCCCAGGTCCTCTGCTAAGCGGTACTAAATGGTTTTCGGGTTTTCAATCACACTGAAGTGGCAGGACAATAAAAATAGGTCAGATAAATATGGGATGGTAGTTGAAGGGAGGTGAAGAGGCTGCTTCTCTGTGAGGTGAAATTCCAGATGAGTCAGTCTCCAGGGAAGTGTGTTTAGAAATGTTCAGGACTTTGTAGTTAGCATGACCCTAAAATTCTAGGGGATTTCTGGTGGGACAGTGGGTGGTGAATTCTGAAGTTTTGGAGAAGAAGGTGGAGCAGCCAGCAAGTTAGCCAGAGTTTTCTCAAGAGCCAGCTTTGCTCAGCACACTCTCCTGGGCCCCAAGACGTCCCACAGAATGGGGAAAGTGGGAACTCTGGAGTTCTTGGGAATCTTTGAGCCTAAAGAGGAAACGAGGTGCAAATTCATTTCATGGCGACTGACCCTTGAGCTTAAACAGAAGCAGCAAATGAAAGAACCCGACATATAAGGAAGGGCACAGGCCTCTCCGACTCTATTTACAATCTGTAACTTTCCACTCTTCCTGTCGCCCTGAGGCCCCTGAGTCCTAGCTTTTCTCGTTCCCATCCTTGGGGCCTTGGTGGTGATGGGTATGGGGCTGTTGATGGGAAGGTGCCGGGTTGTTGGGCTTTTTGCCTGCTCCCTGCTTAAACAAAAGAACGAATCCCGAATATGTCCAAAATCCAGAATCTTGGATTTTGCCCTCTTTTTGGATCTCGGTCTCCTTGGTAGGAGTTTGTTCCAGAGGGGTTCTCCCTGTGGATTTGAACTCGTTCTTTTTTTGTTGTTGTTCTTTCTCTTTTTCTCACCTTCCACTAAAGGGGTTCCAAATTTACCTGGTCTTTTTCTACCTTACTGTCTTTGTATCTCGTCTTTACTTCCACCTGTTTGTTTTCTCTCCATCAGTGGGGGCTGAGTCATTCCCCCGGCCTGCCAAATTGTAATCCTTCCCCTCTTTTGGCCAGATCCTAGGGGGAAGAAATCCTAGTATGCCAAAAATATATGCTAAGCATAATTAAACTCCATGCGGGTCCATAATAGCCAAGAAGCCTGCAGGAGAAAGCCGAGGGCAGTTCCCTCTGGAGAACACCCCATGCGTGCTGAGAGGCAAGCTCCTTCAAGAAGGAGCTGCTCTTCCAGGAGGCTTTGTTTTGAACTGCCCCAGGACCCCACTGGAGAGCACAGCATGCCTTACCCCTGGGTTACCCTTGGTCTGTGTGCTCTGTACTGGAGGCTCTGTTCTGCCTCTTACAAGCCAGGTCAGGGGCACACATGGCTTACGTGACAAAGCCAGAGAGGAGAAGACAACCCTGACAGCGTCACACTGCATCCCTTTCCTAGCAGGATGGAGCTGCCGCTTTCCTGCTGTCTAGCACCTCTAGGGCCTCTCCGGACTGTGCCCAGGGAGCTCTGGGACTGAAAGGTTAAGAACATTAGGCAAGATCAGATGACTTTCTCAAAGAGGGCAGGGGAATTTTCTCTCCATGGGCCACAGGGGACAGGGCTGGGAGAAGAAATAGACTTGCACCTTATGTCATGTAAATAATTGATTTTCTAGTTCAAGAAGATAATATTGGTAGTGTGGGAATTGGAGGTAGGAAGGGGAGGAAGTCTGAGTAAGCCAGTCGGCTTGTAAGCCCAAAGGATTCCTCTTTATCTCTGAGACAGTCCAACCTTGAGAAAAGCTTTAAAAGGGAAATTAATGCTGAGACGATAAAGTCCCCTTAAGCCAACAAACCCTCTGTAGCTATAGAATGAGTGCAGTCTTCTGTTGGTGTGGACTCAGAGCGATTTACAAGAGCTGTTCATGCAGCCATCCATTTGTGCAAAATAGGGTAAGAAGATTCCAGAGGATGTTTATTGCTTCCTCATACCACATGGCTTTTGATGATTCTGGATGAAATGACCCAGAATGGTCATTTCAGGCACAACGATACTACATTCGTGTGTCTCTGCTTTTAAACTTGGCTGGGCTTTCAGACCCTATTCTTGGCTCAGGTTTTAAGAAGCCATCAGCAAATGGGTACGTGCTCGCTGGAGCTGCAGCCTTCATTCCTTTGCCTGCAGCCTACTCTGGGGAAATAAAGTGCCTTACTGACTGTAGCCATTACAGTATCCAATGTCTTTTGACAGGTGCCTGTCCTTGAAACACAAAGTTTCTGTTTTTATTTTTAATTGGTTTAGTTCTTACTGCTGGCCAACTCTTACGTCCCCAGCGAATCACTGGGCCATTGGATTTTTTCCATTATGTTCATTACCCTTATACCATGTACCTCAGCTCTCTCTCTTCTCTCTCTCAGTTATGGTTTCTCGTCTTGGACTTTTTTCTTTTCTTTTCTTTTCCTTTTTTTTTTTTTTTTTGCTTTAAAACGAGTGTGATGCCATATCAAGTCAATGTTATTCTCTCACAATGTACTCTATAAGAGGTGTGGGTGTGTATTTGGTCAGGACGTTAGAAAGTGCTGAAGTAGCATGATCAGTGTATGCAGAAAGGTTTTTAGGAAGTATGGCAAAATGTTGTATTGGCTGTGATGGTGACATGATAGAGTCAGCTGCATTTTAAGACGTCTTATCTGTTCAGTATTAAGTGATTTAAAAAAATAATAACCTGTTTTCTGACTAGTTTAAAGATGGATTTGAAAATGGTTTTGAATGCAATTAGGTTATGCTATTTGGACAATAAACTCACCTTGACCTAAACTATCTGGCCATTTTTGACTTGTTTATTGACCAGCAGTCCTCAGAACGGAATACACTTGTCTCATGTCAGAATGCTCTTTTATGCTGCCGCAACAATTGCAGGGACATGAAAGACACATTTGAACCTGGAATGGTACCCATGCAGCCGGATTATGAGCAAGAAGACCTAGTCCACCTTCAGAAGGTGGTACATCACACACAGTATGACTGGTCCTCGGGATACCCCTGATTGTTGCCAGCTACTCACTCTAGGCTGTGTGGAAGCAGCTCCTGGCATGAGAGAAAACCAGAAGCCTGCAGTGCCAACTCCAGATTCTGGGGAACCCTGCCCCTGCAGCTTTCCTGGCTTCTGCCTGCTGTTCTTAGTGGCTCCCAGCTGATTTCTGATCCTTCCTGCACCCCTCCTCTGAGACACAGGCCACAACTGCCCTTGGTGGAGTCTGGAAAAGCAGAGCCTGGGAATGGGACATGACAGTCTCCATACTGCTTGAATGAATTTCAGGGCCCTAGGCTCAGCTGCTCTTGGACCTCAGCTCCTCAGACCAGCTTTCTTCCCAAGTGTGGTGGGTATACAGAAGGCAGCCTAATAAACACTTTTTTTTTTATTTTTGAGATGTGGTCTCGCTTTGTCCCCAGGCTGGAGTGCAGTGGCGCAGTCTTGGCTCACTGCAACCTCTACCTCCTGAGTTCAAATGATTCTCCTGCCTCTGCCTCCCGAGTAGCTGGGACTACAGGCACATGTCACCATGGCCAGCTAATTTTTTGCATTTCTAGTAGAGACGGGGTTTTACTGTGTTAGGATGGTCTCGATCTCCTGACCTCATGATCCGCCTGCCTCAGCCTCCCAAAGTGCTGGGATTATAGGCATGAGCCACCATGCCCTGCCTTTTTTCATTTTTTACTTTTTTGAAACAGGGTCTTTCTCTGTCCCCCAGCCTGGAGTACAGTGACACAAATCCAGCTTGCTGTAGCCTCAAACTCCTGGGCTCAAGCAATCCTCCTCCCTCAGCCTCCCAAGTAGCTGGGATTACAGGCAGACGCCACGACACCCAGTTAATTTTCTTATTTTTTTGTACAGATTAGGTACGTTAGAGCCTTTGCACAAGTTCTAATAGACATTTTGATGTTACTATAAAATTCATTTTCTCCAAACTTTTCTGTCCAAAAGTCACTGAAGGCTGCTTTCCATTTTAATTCTGACCTCAGTTGTAAACAATAAGATTTTAAACTGGCCATTGGGGAAGTCCAGATTAAGATATTCCCTGTGGATCTCAAGTAACTTCACTTAATAGAACTTTTAAGCTTACAAGGACCCTACAAATTCCCCTTTGTTTCCATTCCCCATTGACATCCACCATTCTTAGAGACAAACGGGTAACTTTTTCTTGGGTTTCTGCCTAGTGAAGTTTGCTGGCCTCTAGGGAGTGTCAAGGGCCTCTGGTTACCATTCATAACCATCCTTGGAATTCTCTTCAGCATGATAGAACGTCCAACTGGGTCCCTCTCCCTCCCCTTCCCCATCTTTTTGCTCTGTAGGAGCAATGCTGTCTGTTTATAGCATGACAACTCTACTCCCACTCCCAAATGCCACCCAGCAACACTGCCAGGCTTCCCCCATTCTGAGTGAAGAATGTTGGAAGGGCAGGAAGGGCAGATGAAGCACACAGTCGAGCGGTGATAAATCTCACTGCCCCATCCATGCTCTTTCAGATCCAGATCATCTTATAACTGGAAAATCTCAAACTTAAAAGTGCCTTTCCTGAAAGTGGCAGTTAAAAATGCAATGAAGACCTGGAAATCCCCGATTTTTTGTGTGTGTTCAAGGGAATGCTTTTGTATCTAATGTCTTTCAGAGATCTGGAGCTTTTATTCAACAGGCAGAGGTATCACCAAAATCCGACTTCCCGGTTGGCTTAGCAATAATGCTGTCAAAATACTGACATGAAGCAAGTACTCAAAAGCTGAATGTTACACCAGATTACTTCTCCCCGGCTCTGCTAGCAACAACAGCAACAGCAAAACTGCTGTGGACGGGGCTGGGAGATTCAGAGTATCAAGATAAGCCTAGGGCTCACAGCTGATGTCTAGGTGGGGCCTGTACTGGGCCTTTAAGGAAAAGCACAGAGAACCCCAGGACACACAGGCCTATTAAATTGCCGAGAGGAGCAGCAGCAAATGCAAATGAATCCAGGGGAAATCGATGGGCGTTGGAGGGGGCCCTTTCAGAGGAGATGGAAAGGTTTCCTCAAGCAAGTGGGTTTTAGGAAAACGCGTTTTTTAGGAAGTTCGTGTGGGTCAGCATAGCTTAGAAATGGAAACAATGTGACCTTTTCCACAAATAAAAGAGATGGGAAGTAATTTCTTTTAATGAAGAGAAAATATTCAAATAGGCAGCTTGAAGAGCACACACAATTTAATAGATTTTAAACACTATAAACACAGATGTTACACTTGTGAACCAGGATAAGCACAGTCACAAACATTGATTTGGGATTACCACCCACCTAATTTCTCATGAGGCTTAAAGAAAGAAGGCTGGAAGTTTCAAGATGACTGGTGGCTTTCCTTGTCATTGGGCTTTGGAGGCCTGCCCCGCACTGGAGGGGCAGATTCCATCAGCTCGGACCATAGGCTCCGTCAAATAGAACTGGGTGGCCTGAGAAAGCAGCAAGACCAGCTCAACTTACCTCCCTGGCCTCTGTCTGATTATCACCTGAAGCTTCTTTGAATTTATCCATTATCACAGTTTCTTTGATACTGATTTGCTTCTGGCCGTTCAGCTGCCCTAACCCCTACCAGTCCGGTAAATGACTGTCCACATGGTTTCAACATACAGTTCTTCCTGCGAAGTCCACTAGGTGGTACTAATGCCCCAGACGGGGATCCCTCACAAACCCAGAGCCAGCCAGGTATAGGATGGCTCTGCCCTAGAGGGAAGGGAGCACCTCCCGACCCACCGCAGACAGCAGGAGCAGCACCCTGCTTGTATTGTCTCTCCAGGGCAGCCTGGCCAACGAACCTCAGGCCTTTCCCATCTGCACCTTGTGCGGATCCTGAACCTACCACATCGTGACTCTATCTGGGGTGGCTGGTGCTGGTCTGTCACCTTTCCCGACTCTTTTCCATGTCTAATCCAGCGATGGCACACTGGCAGCTTGCAGACCAAATCCAGCCTGCAGACATAATTAGCTTGACTCCCACAGTGATTGAAATTGTCTTGGATTTACTTGTCAATACAAGATGAGAGCTTTCACATAAAAGTCAGGATTTTAACGACTCTTGGGAAATTTAAGTCCTGGCAACCACAGGCCTGCAAGGCTGCAAGGGCTGCAGCTGAGTGTGACCAGCCCCTTTCTCTACCCCCTGCCCACCCCACGACCCACTGAACCCGATGCTCTCTTTCACAGCACCTGCCAGTAGGCTTAGGGATGACAGCTCTGTAGCCTAATTTGTGTCAGTTTTACCTCCCGGGCGAGGAAGGAGGATCCAATAAACCCCAGGTAGAGTCATCTTCTTCCAGCCTTCTCCACCACAGACAGACCTGGAATACTCTCTTCAGTTGTGGACCACAACCTCTTCTTCTCAGATAAAGACCGTCACGCTTCATTAAGCATTACGGTCTCTTTATGTCTTTATGAACTTTTAGTTATCAGATTACCCTGGGGCTGGGCCAGATTTTTGAAATTCCTTTGAGATCCCAATACTCAGCTCCAGGCACAGGTTTCCAGGTAGGTCCAAATAGGCTGGGTGGTTAGAGATCTGCTTTTTCTGGATTTTGTTTTGTTTTGTTTCTGGAGGTAGGATCTTCCTTTGTCACTGAGGGTGGAAGGCAGCAGTGTGATCACAACTCATTGCAGCCTCAATCTCCTAGGCCAAAGTGGTCCTCTCACCTCAGCCTCCCAAGTAACTGGGAACGCAAGAATTCACCACCACACCTAGATAATTTTATTAAAAAATTTATAGAAACAGGGTCTCACTATGTTGCCCTGGCTGCTCTCAAACTCCAGGCCTCAAAAGATGCTTCCCACCTCGGCCTCCCGAAGTGCTGGGTTACAGGTGTGAGCCACTGCGTCCAGACAGCTTTTCCTGCTTTTGCTTCTCTGGGGAGTCATTTTTAGTGCTCCTGGCACCATGGAGACCCCATGAGAACACAAACCTGTGAGATTTCTAGATTTGTTGAAAAAGTGCAAATCTCTGTGGTTATGTTTCAATCAACCCATTCACTGAAAATCATTACTCTTCATCATCCCCTTCGCCCATGGGGCTCCTGCGCACTGCTCATTTATTCAACGGATGAGGGCTGGGTACCTGCCTGGTGCTCCGCATGGGACGCCTCATTGAACAAATGTGTCTTCAGTATTTGCTTTTCCAGGGATGAGATCTCTGCTCTCCCTGATCTCAGAGGCTAATTAAAAGATGACTGCCATTTGGTGGCTAGCCCAGAAAACAAGTGCTGTGTGGCCAGCCTGCTCTGGACTGCCCACCTAGCCACTTTGTGACCTTGGGCTCATTACCGAGCCAACCAGTAACTCATAGTAAACTCAATGACTCCGTTTTTTCATCTGTGAAATGGGGTTTCATAGTTTCAAAAGAGCTTTCTACAAGCCTCTCCTGCAATCCTCCTAACTCTCTGGTGAGTTTCGTACCTTGTTTTGTAGCTAAGTGAATGGAGGGTTGCATGGCTCATTACAAAGAGTTAGGCTAGCACTGGATCCCAGACGTGTCTGAATTCAAAACGTCGTGCATCTTCTACAACACTGGGCTACTTTATTGATCTATATTTTGTAGATAGATCTATACTTTGCTCAATACAGAGCATTGAGCTGAAAGAATGAGAATTTTAGCCCAGTGTCAGGGGTGGGAGTGTTGGGTGATGACATCACTTATTGAAATCATCAGGGGATGTTTTTGTTTTTTTTTTTTTTTTTTGAGATGAAGTCTCACTCTGTTGCCCAAGCTAGAGGCCAGTGGCACGATCTCGGCTCACTGCAACCTCCACC